CTGTGTAAAAAACAAAAGCAAACCCGACATGCTATTGAAGTCCCCTGTTATGTAACCAATGATTGCCACATAATTTGTTTTGTGCGTTGAAACCTAGAATGCAAAACCATACACACATATGCACGGACGTGTCTGAACTTTCTCTTTCGTTATATTTGGCATGAAAATATCAAATTAAGACTTATTGACCAAACTTCATGCATATCTGCCATAGTATTTCTTGTGTTTTCCTGGCTGCATGTGGCTTTTAATCTGTATCATGTACAGATCTGGAACATGTAATTTAACACCACCTGAAATGTTGAGTTGTTTTGGAAGAGTGACTGGAATATGCTGAGAAACAGAAATATTTTACTGGACTGGGCAGAGAGTCAGATATGAGGCACTGGACTAAAGACTGTGGGTGTGTTGATGCTAAGGCTACCTGGAGATCATTTATGGCTCGAGATGATAATTGCTAATGTTGAATGTGAGGAAAAAAAAAAACCCAGAACTTCTATTGATATTCATTTTTATCTAAAAATAAAGAATAAGTTGTAATAAAGGAAGTATACATGACATGTGAGCTGATTGACTCTGGGGTCCCCATTCTATCCATCTGCTGGAAACCCCGTGTGTTGTAGAGTAGGTGAGGTGTCAGGAGGGAGTGCCCACCCCCACAGAGGGACAGCCAATGGTGTCTTCACGCTGTTGTTGGCTTCTGAAATTGTGTGATATATTGCAATTTGCATGCTCCTAATTAACTGGGATTTTAAATGACATTATCTTCTTTTAACTAAGCTAAATCCTTATGAAATGGACAAGGGGCTTAAACAGAGTCCTGAGGAGTAACTATGGGTCAAAAATAATGTGAATCACATAATGACAGCAAAAAATAGGAGATGGCAGAACTGGCAGTTGTCTACCTCATTTCAGCTCTTCATCAATGATTTCAGGAGGTGGATGGCATAATTGGATCTGAGAAAAAATTGGCACCCTAGAATTAATATTATAAAGAAGAATTTTTTTGAAATATAGATTTGTATCCACCATGGGTAATGAACAATTGCCTTAACTATATATCCTGGTTTTAGATATTGTCTAAGAATGGTGAAGCTATCACACTTAGTCAGATACTTGAAAATACTAATCATTTCATTTTTTTTTTTTTTTTTTTTTTTGAGACAGAGTCTCGCTCTGTCGCCCAGGCTGGAGTGCAGTGGTGCGATCTCGGCTCACTGCGAGCTCCGCCTCCCGGGTTCACACCATTCTCCCGCCTCAGCCTCCTGAGTAGCTGGGACTACAGGCGCCCGCCACCACGCCTGGCTAATTTTTTTGTATTTTTAATAGAGACGGGGTTTCACCGTGGTCTCGATCTCCTGACCTTGTGATCCACCCACCTCGGCCTCCCAAAGTGCTGGGATTACAAGCGTGAGCCACCGCGCCCAGCCTCATTTCATTTCTTAATCTCATCTTTGAAGTTTTTTTCTTTTTGCTATGAATTTAATGATGCATAGACATACTAGTACATTATTACATATGTACACTATACATGCACGTTATTGCATCATGTGGTCAAAGAGGATTGCCTATGATGGTTGGTTCTCTTCTATGCTCTGTGTGTTGTTGGTGAGTCATGTGACCCGCCCCCACCCCGGACATCAGTTATCACAACTAGAAAATCGTTTTCAGTTACCATATCCAAGTTAATTGCTTGGGTTGGTAAAGGCTTAATGATGCCTAGCCTAATGAATCTTCTGCCAAGTTTTTAATGAAAAATGAAAAGATCCCATATGTTCTTTCCCAGAATCCTTAGCCAACAGCCTATCTGTTAGACTTTGCTTCACAAAAAGAGATCCATTGGTTAAGATCTCACGACTGAAAGAGAGCAAGAAAGTTGTCTCTGGGCTCTGACTGAAACAATTATATAGGTACAATTTCCAAGGTAGTGTTGCTCCCAAAAATATATGGATATTGAGTAAATCTGCCTGAACTCTGAGTGACCTGAAATCTGCCAGCACCCATTACAGGCTGGGACATCTGGTGGTCAATAAACTTTTTATTTATTTATTTATTTTACATGAAGCAGCTGTACTTGAGCAGATGACCAGGGGCCATGCAATCAGAGTGTGAATAGCTGAATTAGTAAATCATATTAGGCTTCTTAGGCACTTGTTTAAAGGCTACATGTGCCTTTTTAATTTTCCTTTATTAAGGTCGGCCCCAAACATAGCAGTGTTAGCAGTAGGGTTATTAGTGACTTATTTGCTTCATTAAAATTTATGGCACATTTTACATCCACCATCTGGGGCAATCTCTCCCCACCTTACTGTTAAAATGTAACCTAAAACCATGGCTGGCACTGATAATGCCTGAAAAAATACTCTATAGATGGAATGCTTTTTTTTTAATGCCAGGATTATCCTGCCAGGAACTCAATACACAGACACCATAACAGCAAAGGCAATATTTCCAGTCAAATCCCACTCAATGACTGTTAGAACACAATGTCTTACGTTCAAGTGTTTTGCTGAAAGTTACTTGTTTGTAGGTAAAAAAGAAAAGATGGTGGGGTTGTTATTTTAAAAGTTCAAATTCTGTGGAAAATGGAAAAGCTTAAAATGCCTTTGGCATAATACTGCATACGTTGATGTCTTATGGATCTCCATGAATATTTGAGTTTAGGAGACTGCAAATATAAAGTGACAGGAAAGTTTAACCTAAAAGATTGAGATATTTAAGTGTTGGTAGACTTTTAGAGGACACCTGATCCATCAAATTGTCTGATTAAGTTTTCAGAAAAAATATCAGCCATGAGGGAGTCAACTTACAAGCTTAACCTACTGTTCCAATGCCAGGGATAGGAGTCTGTCTGGTTGACATGGAAGACTCTTGAATATAGAACCTGAGACACATTTCACAGAGGAGCCTATGAGATGGGAAGGAGAATATTGACAATGATACTTTGTATCATTTGAGATATAAATCCTGTTTGTTAAACAATATTTTGTTCAAAACATTTACATATATGTATATATACATATATACATACAGTCACATGCCTCATAGTGATGTTTTGGTGAGCTATGAACTGCATATATAATGCTGGCCCCATAAGATTAAGATCCCATATTTTTACTGTTTTCTACATTTAGATTTGTTTAGATACAGACATGCTTCCCGTTGTGCTACAATTGCCTGCAGTATTCTGTACAGTAACAAGCTGTGCACGTTTGTAGTGTGAGAGCAATAGACTATAACCTATAGCCTAGGTGTGTAGGCTATGCAAAAGTGCACTATATGATGTTTGCACAATAATGAAATCACTAAGGACACATTGCTCCGAAAGCATTTTCTTTCTTCAAGTAACACATGACTATCATAGTAGAATATATGTATTGATGTACACACACATACACGCACATAATTATAATTTTGTGTTGTATGTGGAATGTTCTAATTGGGCTTAATGATCTCAAATATTTATCACTCGAATATCTAGAATTCTTCATCTAGACATTAAAATCATTCCTGTTTGTTACCAAGATTTAGCATCAAACTAAAGACACTATGGTAAAGAATCAAGTCAGGATTGAAGTGTTCAAAGAGACCAAGTTCTGGTCATATGTGTGCCACTTAACAGGTTGTCTCATCTCTTTATATTTCTTTATTTAAGAGGAAAAAAAATGTAGACCTACTGAATAGAGTTGTAATAATCAAATCAGAACATGAATGTTAAACCTTTTTGAAAAGTTAAAGCATTATTCGAAAGCAAGCTGTGTGTGTGTGTTTTTTTTTTTTCAATAAGAAATAAAATGTTTGAATAGGAAAGGATCTTGTGAGGTCAGAATCCATTCCTCTAGACAATAATTTAAAGAAACTCAATGATGAGATACTAACTTAGTTTTAAAGAACTTTAGCAAAGAGGTTTCCAAACTGACTTGAAGAGTCACTGCATGATTTAATAAACTTTGGTGCCAGAAGATTTTTCTCACTTCTAACTTAAATTTCTGCTTTTTTATTAGGAGCCCATTTTATCTTTCTAAAATGAAGTCTCTTCACTAGAAATGAAATGGGAGAATAGACAAGATAAGTAAATAAAATCTGAACAGATGACCCTTCTGATCCTGTGATTTTTACTACCTCTCTCCTCAGCTTTCAGTTTTCCAAGTAAAATCACATATTTTATTGTTTTCCCCAAAGTACTTATTTTATATCCTGAAAATCTTCTTGATTCTTATGATTTCTCCAACCCACTGTATCCTCAGAATAAAGAACTGAACCTAATATCCATCCAAGTATATAACTGGCTAAAGCATAGTCTGATTGGAAGTAGTCTGTATTCCTATCAGTAAACTCAAGAACATGGTGAGATGTGTAACACACACCCAAACTGAAATGAGCCTTGTTTTTAGACCCAAGGTCTATAAGATCTGATATTAATCTAGTCTCTTCTAAGTATCCAAACCTTGGATCTGATTTTTAAATGCAGTTTTAGAAGAAAATGGAGACTTATAATAAAAGGATTTATGAAAAGATGATTGAGTTCATTCTCCAGTGATGAAAATTGTATTCACTTTACTACTCACATTCAATTCAACTCTCTCTGCCATAATAAATTGAAAAATTCCAGATGGAGACTGCTCTGTCAGCCTAGATCCTAGTGTGAAAATAAATCTGAGCAGATGTTTTGCCATCCTAAAATGGACAAGTAGTTTAAATGTTGTTTAAAGCTAGTGATACTGCGGAGTTATTTGTTATCACAGCAAAATAGAGCCCTACGTACTAGTACAGATATGAATTGCTTTTGATACAAATAGGAATAACATAAGCTTAAATGTGTTTGTTAATAATTTACACTTATTTCCATTCTTACTAAGGCTGTAGAAAGCTACAGAAAAATAATACGAGAAAGCTGTCTAATTTTTAAAGTTCATATTCTTTAGCCCATCACAAAGCTCACATCAGAAGGCGATCTAATGAACTGAATCCCAAAAGTAATAAGACCCTGCAAGGAGAAGTAGGTCACATGGACATTTTATCTTTGGCAAGCATGGGGACATGAGGCAGCTGCCGTAAAAGTAGGCAAGGAAACCACAACTAAAATATTACCCAGTGATTCAAGACTGAGTACGGGTTAAAATAGTAGTGTAAGATTTCCGGAAGCATCCTCAGAAGTGTGCCCACTTGCTACTCATTGTCCACTGGATTCCGCTGGGTGCTTACATAAGAGACTGGAATAAAGAAAAGAGAACTGCTAGTATGAAACCCTCATTTTTCCCATTATTTTCAAATTCACTTAATGAACATTTTTGATGGCTTATAAGTGAAATTCACTTTTGTAAAAGTGGAGATGAAAATATGTTAAAGGGGCAAAGTTTCATTAGATAGAATGAATAATTTCCAGAGATCAATTATACAGCATGGTGAACATAATTAATAATAGTATACTGTATACTTAAAGATTACTAAGAGAGTTGATTTCAAATCTTCCCACTACCAAAAAAGTGTGATGTGATGGATATGTTAAATAGCTTGATGTAATCATTAAACAATGCATACATTTATAAAAAAGATCATGTTGTACCCCCTAAATATATGCAATACAAAAATTTAAAGGTGGAAGGGAAACAAATACAGTTCACTTTTGGACTAGAAGGGGCTCAAGACAGAATACCTGTCCTTAAAATCTTAGCACCTCTGTTAATGCAGATAAACATTACTGATAGACATAAAGAGGCTTTTGATTGAGATTTAAACTTGTGATGTGAAAATAGTCTGTCTCATGTTTCTGAATTGAATTATTATATGAAACATGTTAAAGTCTCATACCATATATGTGGTTGAATGTAACCTTACCATGATGTAGGGCAGAAAGAAATGAAACGTCCAGATGGATTGTCCAGGAAGAACAACGAATACACAAAAATCATGAACCCATTTGGTAGCACAGGTGTACAGGTTCTGCCTCTGTTTAAACATGGAGAAGAACTACCTGGAGAAGCCTGTCTATGTTCCAAGAGCTACATGATTACAAGAGGATGAACAGCTGCTCCTGCCCACCCCAGACCCTGCTGAGACATGACTAAAAAAAGGCTATTTGCTGTTGGAAAAAGGGAAAGATATCATCTTACCTTCCCAGTCTCTACCTTGATTTCAGGCATAGGTCTGCTGTCATTGATGGAAATCCACCTCTACAGTGCACTGACATTATGCAAAAGCATCTGCTACTACAGAGGGACTGCAAACCAACTGGTACGCAGGGCTCTGGATTGGTACAGGGTAGAGGTCTTCTTTTGCTAGGGAGAGGCAGAAAAGTCATTCTCACCAAATACCCCATTGTCTTAGTCCATTTACACTGCTATGAGAAAACACCACAGACTGGGTAGCTTTTAAAACACAGAAATTGATTTATCATTGTTTTGGAGGCTGGGAAGTCTAAGACCAAGGCACCAGCATATTTAGTGTCTGGTGAGAGCCTGCTTCCTGGGATCATCTTTTCACTGTGTCTTTGGTGAAAGGGGTGAATGAGCTTGCCGTAGTCTCTTTTTTAAAAGGGCACTAATCCTACCGTGAGGGCTCTACACTCAAGACCCAGTCACCTTCCAAAGGCCCTACCTCCAAATATCATCACATGGGTCGTTGGGATTTAACATATGAATTCTGGGGGGAACACAAATATTCAAGCTAAAGCACCCACCAATATAGGACAGAGTTTGGCTGGCATGGAATGAGGGTGGGGTGCTCACTCTTTAGACTCTGTATTTGAGGAGAAAGCAAAGCTTGTTTGACAGTGGGAATGGAACAAAAATGATGAGAAATCTCATCCTTTGATGCTCAGGTGCTCATGACTTGCTGAAGACTGATACTGGAACAGAAGAGCTGAGAAACACACCTGCCCCCTACCTCAAGCCCTGCACCAAGTAAAAGTCAGCAGAAATATACCCTGGGGAAAGGGCTAGAGTGTGACTGGAGATCTTGCTGAAAGCTGGAGGTGGAGGAGGAATACAAAGAAAAGATTTTAGTACTCCAGGCTTCACAGTAAGTAAAAGTAGCAGTCATCTACTACTAGAGAATTTTGAAGTCTCTGGTAGACTGAAAGTAACTAGAGCAACATATAACCAAACACAAGACAGCTACTGGAATGATTGGACCGAGTGACCTGACAGAAGAAGAAGCATGCCCATTTCCAGAAATAAATCCTTTTTATATCAGTCTCTCTATACACCATGTCTACCATTCAACAAAACTTATGAGAGACAAGGAAAAAACAACCCTCATTGTCCAGAGGCAAAAGTAATCAACAGAAACAGATTGAGAAATGATCTGGTGGCTGGAATTATTACACAGTAATTTAAAACTAACTATAATATGTTTAATGACATAGTAGATGAGATAAATGGGATGCATGAACAGATAAGGAATTTCAGAGAGATTACAACTTTATGAAGGAGTCAAATGGAAATGCTAGAAATGAAAAATGCCATATCAGAAATAAATAATTTTATCAATTAGCCTATAAGCAGACTGGATACAGAAAAAAAAAAAATCAATGATCTTGGAGACAGGTAAATAGGAATTATGACAATGGTAATGCAAAGAAAAAATGATGGTAAACAGTAAAGCTTCCAACAGATTTGAGCTATTTAATATTTATAAAACATTCTCCTCAACAATAGCTGAATACAAATTTACATTAAATGCAACAGAATATTTACCAAGTTGTATCATTTTCAGGATGATAAAAGAAAATTCAATAAATGTTAAAAGATTAAAATCATATATGATTTATGATTTCAGCAAAATAAAACTAAAATCCAAAAGCAGCATGATGGGGGTTTTCCCCCAGCTTTATTGAAGTAAAATTAACAAATAAAAACGTGTATGTTCAAGGTGTACAACTTCATATTTTGAGATATATGTGTGTGTGTATATATATATACACACACACACACACACATTATGTAATAATTACCACAAGCTAATTAACCTATTCAACACCATGAGTGCATGCGCACACACACACATTCACATCACAAGAGGAAATAGAAAATACTCTGAATAACAAAACAAACATTAGAATTTTTGGAATGCAACTAAAGTGATTAGAGGGGAATTTATAATATTAAGTGTTTATATTAGAAGAAACATTTTAAAGCAATGATCTAAGGTAACACCTTTAGAAATTAGGAAACCAAGAATAATTAGATCCTAATTAAACAGAAGGAAGTTAACAAAGATAACTAAATGAAGTAGAATACAGAGTAATAGAGAGAATTTAAAGCAAGCAATGCCGATTACACAAAAATATCAGTGTAATTGAAAACATCTATCCAGACTAATTAAGAAAAAGGGGGAGAAGACACAAATAGTTATCAGGAATAAAAGGAATCATTACAGATAATGTAAATATTACAAGGGTAATACTCAAATATTATAATGAATCTTATCAGAATAATGTCACAATATACAGTCATGCAATGCATAATGACAGTCAATGACAGACCACATATATAATAGTTCCATAAAATTTTAATTCCATATTTTTGCTGTACCTTTTCTGTGTTAAGATGCACAAATATAGTGTTATAATTGCTTACAATATTCAGTACAGTAATGTGCCGTACAGACTTGTAGTCTAGGAGCAAGAGGCTATACCATACAGCCTAGATGTGTAGTAAGTAGGCTCTACCATCTAGGTGTGTGTAACTACACCCTATGATATTTGCACAATGACAAATTTGCCTAAGGATGCATCTCTCAGAACTTATTGTTAAACGACACATAGATGAAAAGGACAAATTAACTGAAAGACACAAACTGCAAAAGTTTGAGATGAAATAAATAGCCTAAATAGCCTTAATATTGATTAAACAAGCTGAATTTGCAATCTAAAACCTTGTTGAAATGAAAATTTCGGGCCTAAATGATTTCACTGTTGAATTCTATCAAATACGTAAGGAATAAATAATTACAATTCTACCCATATTTTTCCAGAACATAAAAGATAATAGTAAACATTCCAACTTGTTTTTTGAGGTTAGAATTTCCCAGATACCAAAATGAAACCGATACATTACAAAAATAAAAGTACAGACCAATATCTCAAAGTTTCAAAAATTCTTATAAAAATTAAGTTACATTCAGTCATATATAAAAATTATAACCCTTTGTGTCCAAATAGGATGTATCCCAAGAAATGTAAAATTAGTTTAATGTGTGAAAAAAATCGATCAATTTAATTCATTATATTCACAAACTAAAAAAGAAACACTTAGTAGAGACAAAAAAGCATTTGACAAAATTCAGTATTCATTTGGCATTTTAAAAATAACTCCCAACAGACAAGAAATAGAAGGGAACTTTAACCTTCTTTCCTTCATAAAGTACATTTATGAAAAAATGAGAAATAACACATCATTTAGTGGTGACAGATAGAATACTTTGCTCACCCTTCCTTTCCTTCCTTCCCTTCCTTCCTTCCTTCCTTCCTTCCTTTCCTTCCTTCCCTTCCTTCCTTCCTTTCCTTCCTTCCTTCCTTCCTCCCTCCCTCCCTCCCTCCCTCCCTCCCTCCCTCCCTTCCTTCCTTCCTTCCTTCCTTCCTTCCTTCCTTCCTTCCTCCCTCTCCCCTCCCTCCCTCCCTCCTTCCCTCCCTCCCTCCTTCCCTCTCTTTCTCTTTTCTTTTGTCAGGGTCTCCCTCTGTCACCCTGACGAGTACAGTGACTGCTCACTGCAACCTTGACTTCCCAGACTTAAGCAATCCTCCCACCTCAGCCTCCCAGGTATCTGGGACTAAAGTTACACACCACCATGCCCAGATATATATCTATAGATATATATATATCTATATCTATAGATATTATAGATATATATATATATCTGTATATCTATATATATATATTTATTTATTTTTTACTTTTCATAGAGACAAGGTCTCATTATGTTGACTAGGCTGACCTTGAACCTCTGTGTTCAAGTGATCCACCTGACTTGGCCTCCCAAAGTGCTGAGATTATAGGCATGAGCCAACATGCCTGGTCTGCTTCTAATCAGGAACAAAGCAAGGGGTCTCACTTACCACTTCTATTTACCATTTTATTGGAGATCCTGGCTAGGATAAAGATAAAAAGATAAAGCAAGAAAAGGAAATAAAAGGTATTCAGTTTGGAAAGGAGAAATAAAACTTTTACTTTTTTTTGTTGTTTTTTTCTGAGACCCAGTTTCACTGTGTTACCCAGGCTAGAGTACAATGGCATGATATCTCCCTGCAACCTCAGCCTCCCAGGTTCAAGCAATCCTCCCACCTCAGCCTCCTGAGTACCTGAGTCTACAGGCACATGCCACTATGTCTGGCTAATTTTTTTTTTTTAAATTTTATTTTTGGTAGAGATGGGGTTTCACCATGTTGCTCAGGCTGGCCTTGAACTCCTGAGCTCAAGAGATTCATCTGCCTTGGCCTCCCAAAGTTCTGGGATTATAGACATGAGGCACCACACCCTGCCTTAGGAAAGAGAAGTCAAACCTTTATTTGCAGACAACATTATTCTCTAAATAGAAAAATCACAAGAAATTTACAAAAACCTTCTTGGAAGTAATATGTGATCTTAGCAAGGTGACAGAATACCAAGTCAATATATAAATTATATTTGTATATGCTATCAATGTTTAATTGGAAATTGAAATATAAGTATAAACATTTAAATATATCAAAAGTGAAATATTTGAGACTAAATTTGACAAAACACATGGAAGACCTGTACACTGAAAACTCCAAAACATTGCTGACAGAATTTAAAGAAAAGCTGAAAAAAATGGAGTGATGTACTTTGTTCATGCATTGAAAATCTCAAAATTGTTATAATTTAATTTCTTCTCAATTTTCTCTAAAAATTCAAAGTAATCCTAATCAAAATTCTGGTAGCTTTTAAAAAAGAAATGGATAGATCTTTTAAAATTAACATGAAAATACCATAGTTTGATTTGTTAAGTGAGATTTTCTTTGTATTAATTTTGCTTGGTGTTTGCTAAGATTTTTGAATCTATAATTTTTTGTCGTTAATAAAATTTGTTGAATTTTCAGCCATTATTTCTTCTAGTATATTTTCTGCTCCATTTTCTTTTTCTTCTCTTTCTGAGTCTCCAACCACATGTTTGGTATATCTTTTGTTCATCTCATAAGTTCCTGTGGTGCTGCTCATTTTTTATTGCTGTTTTTTTCATGTTTTTAATTTCTATTGAATTGTGGTCACATCCAGTGATTTTTTTAAAACTTTATTTCTCAATTCCAGAATTTCCATTAGATT